CGATGAGATTTCACGGGAGAGATGAAAAATATATATATATTATATCTACGTGTGTGGGCAACGCGCGAATCAGAGAGACTATTTAATGGAATAACTAGGTATCGATGACAGATCGAACGAGGTTGTCGCTAGATTTTTTTTTCGCCAAATTATTAATATATTAATGTATTCTCGGACTCAACTACACAACTCCGGGAATTATTATTTGTTGGGCGTGAATTGAGGTCTTGGGAAAATATTCGCCTTGTTCAATTTCGTTTTGACTTGCTTAATCACGCAAGAAAAAAATTAATAGAGAATCCTAGTGAATTCGCTAGATAATTCGATTGTATTTCTGTTGAACTTTCTATTAGTTTTTGGCCGATTCTGTTAAAGAATTCAATTTTTCTATACAACATATGCTATGAAGATATTTTCAACTCAAAGTTGTTTTTGTTTGATTTTATTTTCTTGATGACAAGAAAATAAAAAAAGAATTAGAAAAACTTGGAAAAACTGAACCGGGGAAATTTTATAATCTCAATGGAGTAAGTAATATATAAAAGTCGAATTCTATTGACTTTTTCTACAGAATATGTTGTATGTACTGAATATTTCAATAGAATCGTCCAAAAACTAATAAAAGCATCAATAGAAATCCAATAGAATTGTCCAGCGAATTCGCTAAGTTTTTCTATTAGATTTTTTTGTGCATGATGCCACGAATTGAATGGTACAATAATGGATAATTATTCTTCGATTATTTCTGGTTTATTCTGCGGGAGTACTGGAAGCATATTCCTGATTATTCATACGGAAAAAAAAATACTTGAATTGAGTATAAAATATACTTGAATCATGCATATTTTATCCCCAAATTAACTCGTTTATAGTTTATCATTAATTTTAAACAATTTTTTCCGAAGAAAAAAGTTTCTAGATTTTAGAGAACAGAAGGTTAGAAACCACGGTTTCTAAAATTGAAAAACTTTTTTCTAAAGCTAATTCATCTTTTCTCTTCGTGTTTGCCCCTAATATTCGGACACTTAGTGCCTAATCCTTATACACTTAAGAGGGCTTGCTATAACCCGGCCTGATACGAAACAATCATCTTCGAATTGAAATACCCATCCTTCAATTGAGTATAAAATATATTTGATTCAAGTATATTTTATACTCAATACAAGTATTTTTTTCCGTGTTTATCGTCACAGGGTCACTTTGACCCTCCAACACTTTGGATTTGTGACTCTTGTTCACGCGTGCTAAATCAAATGCAATTATTTTTTGATTTTGTAAAATTCTATATTCTATTTTGGTTCAACAATGCAATTGATTCTTTGGAACATTGAATTTGGGTATTGTGTTTCATTCGGTGAGAATTGTGGTAATTTTTAAGTTTGTTGGAGTTCGAAGAGGGAGTATCGTCCTCCCTTCACCGATTACGGAATCGACTCAGAAAATTTAAGTGACGGTATCGTAATTTTTCACAGGAGATTAAGGTAAAAATTACGGAACGCTCTGGAAAAATTCCGTGACAGTTCCGTAAAATTTCCTACACGGAGAGAAATTTTTGATAAAAATTATCCTACCGTTCTATAAAGGTGTATCATGAGTTATCGTTTCCTCATTTCTATCCCGAAATTTAGTAAAAATTAATAAATGATGATCAAATTTTATTCTACGTTAGAAAAATTTTATTCTGACGCATAATAAATTTTACCCTTCCAGTCCATTAATTTTTATGTAGATAACAACGAAAATTCTAGAACGGTTGGTAAATCTTACTCTACCGGTACAGTAATTTTTACTCTACTAGCACGGTAATTTTTATTTTCAGGAGGATAAAATTTCTCTAACGTAGAATAAAATTTGATCATCATATATTAATTTTCACTAAATTTCGGGATAGAAATGAGAAAACGACGGCTCATGATACACTTTTATGGAACGGCAGGATAATTTTTATCAAAAATTTCTCTCCGTGTACGACCACATTTCACTCCGGAATTACGGAAAAGATACGTAATTTTTATTGAATATTTCTCTCCGTGTTTCTCTTGTTGATGAGAGTTCGGGTGAAGGTATTAAGGTAATTAGATATTGTCGAGTTGAATTTCAAGTTCGTCGTGATTTTGTCTACTTTTCCACGCGATAAAATAAAATAAACTGGCATCTATAGGGGTGTGTGGGCATCTACATTTGTCTATAGGGAGTTTATGGAGTTTAATTAATATTTTAGCACACTTATTTTAATGCAAATTTTTTAAATATTATTCATTTTATTAAACTTCTCGACCCAATGGAAATTCCCGAGTGGAAATTGCTTCAGGCGAGCCTGAGATTTGATCAGGGCTTCATATGTCCAAAGTTAACGGATACTGATTCATGTAGATAATAAGAAGTCCCCTTAATAATAGTAGCGCGATAGTCTAGTGGTTAGGGCATAGGATCAGTAATTGTAATCGATCCCTGGTTCGGTTCCCAGCGTCGGTAAAAATAATAACGTTTTTTCAGCGGTAATTGCGTTAGGAATTCATTAAGAGAGGCGATTAGTAGCGAAAAAAAGTGAATTATCTTTTGTTTTGAATCATTCATTGTGGATAATTATTATTGACATCGGTGGACACGTCATCTCGTTCGTATGCGTCTGGCTTGATCAAGTTCAGATCAATTCGTCCTGATCAAATCCGAATTGGTAAGAGGTGTTACATGTTTGACCAAGTCCTGATCGGCCAACTTGATCAAAACCGGATCCGCGGTCAGATCTGACCTGATCCGGACTTGATCAGCACCTGACCGAAATTTCCACTCAGGAACAAGTTATTGTAATGACCCCGAAAATGAAATGTTGAATTTCACTGATTTCGCATTGAATCATCAACAGATGCTCAAATGTAAGAGTCCACTTCAAAGAATTACTCCTTGTCTTCAAACCTTCCGTTATAGGAAATAAAAAACTAGCTGAAAACACATGTTTCCTGATCCGAGTACAATAAACTTGACTGAGTGACTCACGAGCCTAAAAAATGCTGAGAAATAGGAGAAAAATCTTCAACTGAATATTTCTAGTAGAAACGAAGTCGTAAAACACTTTTTCAGTCGTTACGTTGATTCGCTCAACTCGTTTGTCCGATTTCCTCTCTCCCCTTCGACTCCCGTTAGTCGAGTACGCCTCGTGGCCAAATGAAAATTAAATCAGCCTAAAAAAAAAGTACGCGCCACCTCCTCTCCTCCTCCTCCCGCGCTTCGCAAAACGGTTACGTTTCATTACTTTCGTTTGGCAGCTAACGTCAAGCCCTCTAAACCCCTGTACTGTACTCCTGGCGTCACGTGTGGAATTCGTTTTAGAAAGTTTCAATCAACTTTTACGAGCCCAGAGCCCGTGTATCGAACTTAAGTGTGCGGAAATATTGTTCCTCTCTCTTGCGCGAGTTCGCCAGTCTCTGTCAACCGGCGGTGGTGAAGTTTGTCGATGAATTCGTTCGGATGACAACGGCAGACGTCTGGTAGGGAGATTCAAAGTGGAATGTAATGTATCCATTCAATGACAATATTTATGGTGAGATAGATGAATGTCCGAGGGTGATTTCTTATTCGCAGACATTTTTTCTTCTTTGATAAATTAGTCCTAGGAGATAAGTACAGAGATTTAATTGTCCGCTTCACCCGAGGTTTCACCGAACCCCTCCGAAAATGCATGTTTGCCATATCTCGCGGTCTGTCAGAGTAGCGCGCTACTCCGTTTGGATCGCATTTGCCATTTGTTTAAGGATGTTTAGTCGGTGTCGGTAAATTGTCGGTAAAAGTGCTTTTTTTTCGTGGTCAAGGAAAATTCTGTGATTTTTTCGGCTGACAGCAGAACACATAAAATTAACGTTTCTAACGTTAAAAAAAATTAATTGCAATGGTCTCGGTAGAAATGAATAAAATAATTTTTCCTTATTCACGGGCTTTTATAAAGTTTATGTTCAAATGAATAGTTAATCTACTAGAAGACTCTAAAAATAGAAATACAAATAGAAGGTAATGTGTAAAATCATACTGAATCCAGTGGCCAGAAAAAAATCTGGGGTACCCGGGAAAAAAGTGGAAATATTTGAATGATTCTATCCCATATAAGCGCATGTTAACGCATGCATTTGGTGCATTCTGTCTATTTCATTTCTAAATAATGAACATGGGTTGATGGATTGAAATTGGTATCAAAGCGAAGGGAACATCTTCATCTCTCAGTTAGAAAAAAAAATCAAGTTTTTTGAAGTACTGGGGATCATGGATGAACATCCTTAAGGGGTAACAGAATGCGGCCAATTTTCCAAATTTTTCAACAAATTTCCTGCCCAAACTTATCCATATTTTTATAAATCAAAGCACATTAATCTCCAGGAGGCGATGATGAAGGTCAATATGCTTTGGGTTAAAAAAATACTAATAACCTTGAGCAGGAAATTTGTTTGAAAATTTCGAGGAAATGTATCATTCTGTGATCATTCTCGAATGAAAATTCTGTTACCCCTTAAGCGAATGAATCAATACTTTCTGTAACTGAAGGTTCAAATGGGGGCTGAAACGGGGAAAGGTCACACAAGAAAAGGTTAAACGATGGAAGGTTCAAACGGGTAAGGGTTGAATAGAAGATTGTAGCTTTGACGAGAGTAAAAAATTAATCCATCAAATTCTCTCTACAATAATTTTCTTAAAAAATAGTTGCTCGTTTGACTAGACCATCCCAAGTTGGTTAATTTCCTTCAAGTAAATCTGTTTGACTCCGTCGAATATTCTTACGTGGAACATACTTTTTTGGCAGAGCAAATTTTTTTCTCTTAGTGCACGACTATAGTAGTACAGGATTAAACTCAATTTAGTATTCATTTAGCATGGATTTTGTATATTGTAACATTCTGCAAAAGATGCAAAACCCATTTTCATGCTAAACATGAAAAAAAATGAAATCCTAATTAAATGCGAGCCATCCATCCAAGCCATCATCGTTTTTTATTTTGCTTTTTTCTTTCCAGCGCTTGATACAAAGAGATCATAAACTACTTCTGAAGATATTCTTGAAGTAGTGGGAAAAGAAGCGCAGGCCCACGAATAAAAAATGGTAAGTAAAAGTGAGAGTCTAAAACTTAAGACCCAATGAGCCATAAAAAATCCAAATTATTTCGGAAATATCTCTGAAACCAGTAGGTTTACACACAAACATCAACAGACATCTTTGGCAGTTCTCAAAATTCCCTGCAAATATTGTTTTCTTACAAATTCCTTGAAGTTTTATCACTCCGAAGATATTCCTAAATAAATAATCTTTGAGTGTTCCCTAGACAATTCAAAGGACGAATCATTCATCATCTTCATAAGTTAAAATATCAGCATACCCGGCAAATTTGCAATATTTCTACGAACGCAGAGAAAAAGAGTTTCTGCACTGAAAAAAAAGTTATTTTTACCAAATATTCATGTAAACGTTTATTTTTTCAAAATCATATTTCTCCAATCGAATCATACCCAGGCAAGCCTGATTAGACTTCAATTACGACAATCATCTAGCTCTGTAGGATGACAATGTTGCACATGACTTTGGATGAGCTCCTTCAACTGATTCCCGAGTGGAAATTCAAATTAGGATAGAATAAGAGACTGACCAGTGAAAGCTGATTTTGATCAATTTTGGATCAAAAATATAACGCTTGTTTGGGTCCATGCCTGGTCAAAATGCTAGGATTCGATCTTCCTAAACAGTACCGGATCCGATACGGATCTAGTCGAGATTTGACTGAGAATAGGATCACTAATTCACTCCGCCACAATGGATACAGATACTCCATTCAGAATTTCATCAGATCCTGATCCGAAAGTTTAATCAATAAATTCTGACCAGTATTGAACCTAAAACTAATCTAGATCCAAGCTAACTGACTGAAATTTCCACTCGGGTTATTCATTTTTCCTAAATTTCTTATTTTCTACAGGGAAGAATTTCGAATAATTTTTTAATATTGATAATTATTGAGGGAGTTCACTCAAGCTCATAGCAAACATGATCATTTTCTAAAGCAATATAATTGTCAAAATTAAAACCTATTGAGGATTGCCTGGGAATAACTCAGCTGGAGAAAAACGGTATTGAAAAAATTAATACTTCACTCAATCAGGAGAGTCTGCACATGGAGTACAGCTCCGCGGGTACAATGCGACATGGTGGGGGAGGAAGGCGGCCCATGACATCGCAATAAGCGATGGGGGGTGGGATGGGACCATAAGAAGTCTAATCGGTTATATGCACGAAGAGAAATGTTCAGTAAAAATTGCGGAACTCACAGTTCGCTCACCGATTACGGAATCGACTCAGAAAATTTAAGTGACGGTATCGTAATTTTTCATAGGAGATTCAGTTAAAAATTTCAGAATGCTCTGGAAAAATTCCGTGACAGTTCCGTAAAATTTTCTACAACTATATTTCGCTCCGGAATTACGGAAGAGGTACGTAATTTTGATTGAATATTTCTCTCCGTACGGGAATGGAAAGAAAAAAAAATAAGAATAAGAATACTTCTCTCAAGTAAATGGATATGTGGTCAAAATAATTTTGTCATCACGCTGTGACGAAAAGTGAACTTTTCGGCACGCTCCGCGTGCCTAAAAGTCCAATTTCCGCCACATTGTGATGAAAAATATTGTTCGTAACTCGTGAAAAAATGTTTTTTAGCTCGTGGGATTATATCACTCGCCTTCGGCTCGTGATATAAACCTCCCACTCGCCAAAAAACACTTTTCTGCACTCGTTACGAAATATACAATTTTTCTCAGTGTGCTCAGTTCAGCAAATACTAAGACAACCTGAAAAACGCTGGAGCGCAAAACTGTCAGCTCCTTCACCAAATCCTAAACATCATCAAAACCAACATCAATGAGCCCCCCCATTACCCCTAATTTTTGCCCCCAGCTCCTTCCCTAAGAGTATGACATCCTTAGCAAACTAAAGAGTGAGACAATCCAAATGAAACAGCAGATGAAAAACATGTCCCGTCCTGCAGGATTTTCCATCGTCCTTCGGACATCGTTATAGTGTGAGTAATGCCCCAAAAACTGATGGGTGTTTAGGTGGAAATACAAGGTGTAAACCTCAATTTTTTCATGCTCAATTCACACCCAGAAAAATGTTTTTTTCGAATCAAATAAAAATCTTTATTAGAAATTTTTTGCTTATTTCAAGAATATTGTAATTACAAATGAATAAACTTGCTTACTTGTTTCAAGAAAACGGATTTACTTATAGTAAACAAATAATTTATGTATTCCAACTAAAATTTTTATTAAATTTGGAAAAACTTATTTCTTTGTTTCAAATGAACTTTATTTCAATCAAATAAAACATTTTTCTGGGTGCACCAAAGAGTTGAGACACCCTGAAAAACCCCGGAGTGGAAAACTGTCAGCTCCTCCACCAAACCCTAAACATCATCAAAACCGCCATCAATGAGCCCCCCCATAACCCCTAATTTTTCGCCCCCAGCTCCTTCCCTAAGAGTACGGCATCCTCAGCAAGTAAAAGAGTGAGACAATCCGAATGAAACAGCAGATGAGACACATATCCCTTCCCGCAAGATTTTCCATCGTCCTTCGGACATCGTACCAGTGCGAGTAACCCCCCAAAACCGATGGGGGTTTAGGTGGAAATAGAAGGTGTACACCGAGGAGTGGGGAAGATATTCATTGAGTGGGGGAAAGAAGCGCCCGGTATCTCGAAATTTGGTTGGCTGTCTCGAGCGGGCTTTACTTTACCGTACGCCTCAGCGGCGAGAGAGCGAGAGAGACCGAGCCGGGGGGTCCAGAAGTACGGCATGGTGGGGAGCCGAGGGGGGTGCTGTAGAACCTGAGCGAGTCGGCAAGTGAAGGAGGACGTTAAGGCGAAGAAGGTGGGGAGCAGAACGGACCAAGCGCGCCGCGGCGGAGGGGTAACAAAAGCGTTCGAAGGGCGGGGGGGGCAAGCAAAGCGAAGAACGAAGGAGGGGTACAGACTAGTGCTTTGGCGCGCCAGTGACGACCAACACGAAACTCGGGTTATATTTTCAACCGACAGAACAGTGCCGGCGTTCGTGCGACGCGGGTCTACGGCGTTAACACGGACGAAAATAACAACACGAGATACGTATGAAACGGACGGCCATACAAAATAATTGTAAACAAAATAATCGTAAAAATAATTGTGAAGATATTCAAAGTGAAAGCAAGTGATTTTTGTAAATGGACATAAACAAAATTTTGTGATTATTAGTTTTAAACAATTGTTTACGTGAAATTATCGAGCATTAATGTTGGTGGCGATAAATCGAGAGTGATTATATTAATGGAACTGTGACTATTCCAATGATACACGATGGGCTCTGTAACAGTGATGAGTAATGGAGAGTTGTGATGTTGATCAATTGTCATCACATACGTGAATAACAAGAGAGAGAGTTGATGAGACACTGGGGGCTGGCACAAAGGGGAAGTTGAAACCCCCCGTTTTCGATAGTAAATTAACATTCGCATATCGTTGCGTGACTCTAACACAAGAAAGTCGAGGTCGTATACTAACATGTAATCCATCAAGGTTGTCGCCACTCCTTTTGTTTTAGTTTCACCGTTACTATATTTTTTTTCTAACATCATTCACGCTCAAGTCAATCGATAAAATCGTTTGCCATTCCAACGAAATATTTTCCCCACTGCCCGGTGTAATTTTGTATTTGATTAGCATAATTTAATGGTCGATCTGGGGAGAAACAAATTCAAGTAGTTGAAGGAGGGCCAAGAGAATGACGCCGTTGGGCCAGACTGTAATCACCATCCCTTCGACAGTGGCCCTGTTTTACTGGACTTTCACTGGGACGATTTGTGCGATCATATGATAAATGTAGAACGCAACGTATTTTATTTTTTAGTTTATTTACATTTATTTTTACATTTTAAAACATTGAAAAAACGTGAAAAGTTTAAATAATTCAGTGAATAATACATGTGCTTGAAGAGAAATCGTTGATAATTCGGAGTTTGTTCTTCGCGAAGGAGCGCCCCTCGGCGCTCCCCCCCTCACACCCCCCCAGTAAAACTGTTGACTCCTCTCCTGTCCCCTCACGTGTGCGACAGTAAGTGCGGAGTAATTTGTGTAATTGATTAAAGACAATATGAGTGAGATGATGAGTGTTGAGCAGCACAGTCAGCAGCAGCAATACGTAGGCGGTAGCTCAAATTCCGAGCTTCACTGTAAGGACTGTGGACTCAACTTCGACAGTGACAAAAGCCTGGGTGTTCACATACGCTATCACCAGGAGAATCTCATGCACCAGTGGGCCAATCAAGGCCAACAGGAAGAGAGTAACAACAATAACAGTAAAGCTGGTAATCACAATAGTCACGTGAAACGTGAGAGTGTAACAGCGCCAGCGGACTCAAGTGAGTCGTCATCGCGGCCCTCATCGGCTGGTGGATCGGCCCCTTCGCAGCAGCAGCAGCAGCAGCAGCAGCAGCAACAGCAGCCACCCCAGGGACAGCAAAATCCCTCAGCATTGTCGCAAAGTGGACAGCAGCCTGGCTTGGTGGGCTACAGTCACTTTCCAGCCCCAATGTTCAGTGAAACATCGTACTTCATGCAGAACGATCAAGCCTACCTGCTGCAGCATCAGCATCACTACTCCCCCCCGAACGATGATTCTCAGACTGCGAGTAATTACCCACCCAGATATCATCCGTACCAGCATCCCCAGCACTACCAGCCCGAGAGAACGAACTCCGTGAGCTCATCGAGCCCGCGAAGTCCACCGCAGTGTGACAAGTGTGGTAATGTCTTTGAGGATGCCAATCAGCTAGCTGAGCACGTGAGATCGAATCACCCAACATCACCAAGTGCATATCCGGGCCAGCCGCAGTACCAGCAGTTGGGCTCGAGCCCCCAGCAGTCTCAACCGCAGCAGCAGCCGCCCGCACCTCAAATACACTCGTCGCCACCGCAAAACAGCCAACCACCTCCTCAACCACCAAATTACGATTACAATGCGGGAGGTGGGGTGAAGAACGAGTCCAAGGAGCAGGAGGAGGCCGAGATCCTCGACCTTGATTCCCACAAAGTGCAAACGCACAGGTACGAGGAGGAAATGATGAGGATTCATCAGCAGGAGATGCAAATGCAGATTCACCATCAGCAGCAGCAGGCGCTTGTGCAGCAGCGAGGAGCACCTCATTCGGTGAGTTCCATGCTAGGCTGGCCACCGGCCCAACCCCACGATTACCATCCCGGCATATCGCCGATGGTTCCCATAGACAGTGGCTCACCGTTACCAGATCAACGGCAATTTATGCCGGGTCAGCATTTGCCAGTCGAGCCCCCACGACACGCTGGCTCGCCGATAATAACGAGTACCCAGCCAATGCCTGGACATCACATGCCGGGTACGCTGTTGCAACAGCCCCCAAAATCAACGTCTGGAAATCAATCGTGGAAGAGTAACGAGGCGCGAAGACCAAAGACATACAACTGCACAGCGTGCAACAAGTGGTTCACAAGTTCCGGCCACTTGAAGAGGCATTACAACACGACGTTACATAAAAACGCTGTTAAACAGAGCAATCAACCTGACCCAGCTAACATGCCAATATCAGCGCACCATCATCCAGGGAGGGATAGTGCACCTGGTGGAAGAGGTGGGCCATCTCGTTCACCGGAATTAACAACCTCAGGGAGTCCCCCAAACTTGATGGCAGGTCCCTCGGTAGAGGCGGCGAGGGGCCTGCTCAACACGCCAACCAATCATCCATACATCAGCAATTCCAGCAACGGCAGCTCCAACAGCAACGACTCTACGACATCGCTGGGCCACCAGCACCAGTCTCTACCGCAGCATCAGGTACAATCACCCCAGCAGGGACAATCTACAGCGTTGCAACACATGGCCTCGTCAATGGTGCCCCTCAATTCACCAGTACAATCGCCAATGGGGCTCCATCACCATCAGCAAATGGGTTCACCATCGCCCCAATTACCTCAACACCATCTGCCAATAGGTTCGCCATCCCAAATGCAACATCATCCCATGAATTCCCCAATATCTCCCATGCATCCACCCCCACCGCCCCAACACCTCAATTCCCCTTCGCCAATGGCATCCCACCATCACATGAATTCACCATCGCCAATGGTTTCACCACCGATGGGGGGTACTACGATGCCTCATCAACCGTACCCAAACGCCTTGCCCCCCCACGTTACAACCACTACCAGTATCCCGGGCCTACTGGAGTCTATCACCAGCCAGCTAATTACTACTGGTGAAATGCCAACAGCCATACATTTCCAGACCCAGGATACATTACCCGGTTTTGGCACCTTCAGCAATCATCAGAGGGCCTTACCAAGCTTCAACCAGTTTGGTATAACCGGATTTCTAGTTGGCCACAATCAACCACAGGCCATTAACGTGGGGGGGCTAAGCCCTGAGGATGGTATTCCTCAAGAAAAGTCATTTGAATCATCGGGTTCTAATTACGAAACATACAACAATTCACCACCGAGGTACGAGTCGTTGACCAACATGAGTGCAACGGGTGTTCACACTGCAGACGGAATGATGATGAAGCAGTACGAGGCACTTCAGCATCAGGGACAGCAGCAGATGCGTGATTATCGACACATGGAGGCTAACAACAATCTGCCTCTCAGGTTGGGAAAGGAGGAGGTCAATCCCAATATTGTCAAGGCAGAGATGGAGGAGACCAAATTGACTAGCACCAAGGAGCATCAAGTCACCAGCACAAACACTGGCTCTCATTATATATCGCAGGACGGCTTTCACAAGTGCATTGAGTGCGACAAGGTGTTCAATAAGGCTTGCTACTTGACACAACATAACAAGAGCTTTCACTCAGGTGACAAGCCGTTCAAATGCAATCAGTGTGGCAAACGTTTTCCACATGAATCACTGCATGCTGAACACCTGCAGAAGCATGCCGGTGAAAAGCCGTACAAGTGTGAAATATGCCCGAAGCAGTTTAACCACAAGACGGACCTCAGACGGCACATGTGCCTACATACTGGCGAAAAGCCGTACGCCTGTGATACATGCGGCAAGGGATTCATCAGGAAGGATCACATGATGAAACACCTAGATACGCACAAGAAAAAAACAAACAGTCACAATATACATTTGAGGGCTTGAACCAACGTCAGACCTGTCCTCTAGGTTTTTCAGTGAACGAAAATTTGTTCATGAAGAAGAATATTTACTAAATTCATTCACTCCTTTAGAATCCCTATTTCCTTCTCATTGTCAAATCATTTTCAATGGAATTTTGTTGGGAAATATTTTTTGGGTCACATCGGAGGGAATTTTATTGCTCAAAGATATTTATTTCATTACAATTGAGTGAACTTTTTTCAGGGAAAATCATTTTTTTGGTTAATATTGTTTTGATATTCTGAAGCTCGGGGAGGAATTTTTCTTTTACATCTGAAAGATGAAAATCTAATGGTTTTTCTTTTTACTTGTAATTGCAGTGGGTGGGGTTGAGTTTTCGTATTGACTCTGTCAACTGCAATGTCTCGCGTACATTGCTGTCTGATTGTACTCAATTTAGGATCATGATGGGAAAAAATGTGAAAGAGCTCCGACAAATTGTAAATCTCAATCTAATATTAACGAGTATTGATTAATTGATATTGAAGCGAACCTTTGAAGCTTATCGACTGTACAAAATACGTTAAATGTATAGGCATATTATTATTATATTATTGTAATTATTGATTCAATGTGATCAAATAGATTGCGAAAAAAAATCCTACATCATAATACTCGTAATTTTATAGTATCTATCATAGTTATATGGAGGATTTAGAAAAACAATGAGACGTAGAGTTTGAGATGAAAGAGAAAACGATGACAAAAAAGAATGGAATGAGAATAAATGATTATTGTAAATGAACCAATGTGAAAACGAATGCTCGAGGCGATAAAATCAATTTTTCATTTTATTCTTTGCCAATTGAAATATTGAAGCATTATAAATAAAATAATCAACGTCGTCCTGAGATTGAAATTGTATAATAGTTAATGGACAAAAAATTTATTTAAAAATTGTTTATTCGAATAAATTGAGATTTTTTTTCACACAAATATGAGACGTGACAATCCTTTGACTTTTTCTCCCAATTCATTCCTGACATACATTCCATCGAGGACACTTGTACCTTAAAATAAAATATGAAACATTCCAATTGGAAAGAGGAGGAGGTGAGGATCGATCCAGCACGTTTTCACAGTGGCCCTCTTTTTTTAATAAACCTAAGATAGCCTAAGTGTACGATATGTAAACCTATCGAAGAAAAAAATGAAATAAGAGGAGAATGAACAAAAAATTGTACAACACTTCACGTTAGAGTCTCAACAACAACCGAGCGAGTGAATTTTCTTCGAGAGTTTGCACGAGATAAAAGAGTAAATAACAGATGAAAAAATTTAAACAGATAAAACGTTGACCTCACCATAACGAAATAACATGGGATTGTTTCTGTTGATAGTTGAATATTATTTTTCACATTGATTGTTTAATGAAAATTTTTGATAAAAGTTGGGTTTATTAAACCATCGTCTCGTTTGTTGTTCAAAAGTCGATCTAGAGTTTCCATTGTTCCATCAGTATATCATAACTCTATTTTTATTTTCAAACTCTCAATTAACTCTGACATTTTTGCTCATTCAGTTCTACGATATCAGAGAAACAATAAACGTAAATAATTCTGATGAAAACAAAAAAATAATAGATATATATTTCTTTCGGGACGAGGTCTGACAATTGTAAATAAATCTTAAGTTTATTATCAATTATGAAGAAAACGATAACGAATTATAATCTCTTGCCATTTTACTACGTAAAAAAGAAAAGAAAAATAAAAAAAAATCCCAGAACAGACTACCTCAGAGTTCAGGAATTATCGATGAAAGAAAGGAAGGAGAAAAGAAATGATGAAAAGCCAATGCAATAAGTAATAATAATATTATAAAGAGATGACAAAATGTGAAATGAGATATCGTGCGGGCGTTTTCAGAACAATTTCAACTACTTTTATTTTTGCTCTCTGAAACTTTTTCTCGTAACTATTTATTGTTACACATTTATTTTTTATTTTCAAGAGAATACACACACACATGTACTGAAAAGCATAAACATTCATTTTTTCCTTCTCTCCTTCACGGCATTGAGTTCCTCCATCGCCCGCCGGTTAACGTTTTTAATGAGCAGTATGAAAAAGTAAATGAATTAAATAATATAAATAGATCGACGTACATTAGAGACATATCAAACAGTATTACTGTATACTCAGTTTATTATAGATAAGAAGTTGAATTAAGAGGAAAATAAATGAAAAATGGATCGATACATATTTTTACTTCATATCATTATTAAGGCGTTTTTATTGAATATTATTAATGGAGGAAATAATACCGGGCATTCTATTGTGCGAAGCAATCTTAATTAGGTAATGAAAAATTATGAATAATCCTCGGGATTCACGACATGGGCATTTGACATTAGAATTTTCATTTTTTTTATTCAATTGTATGAATGATAGAAAAAATATCGCCTCTTACACAGTACCAAATTACCGTTGGTTGTGCCAAACTCTAATGTTCGTTTTTTATTTATCACTTTTTGTACTATTTTGTTCCCCATTTTTTCTACTATTAATTCTTATCATTTGGATCATAATTGTAATTTTATTTTTCGTGGGCATTCCTTTTTTCATTGAGAGAATGAGAAAATAAAACAGAAATAATAAAAATAAAATGGAGAATTGAATACTTCAAATCCGTCTTGGGAATTGTAAAAAAAGAAATGGATAAAATACTTGATCAATTGTGAGCATTTTTTAGATGGATTTCTGGAGTAATAACTGTATGATGCAAATAATGAAATAGATTTTTTTTTAATTCACTTGTGCCATAAATATACGTGAAAGTTATTAAAGTAAAAGAGTAAAATGATGAATGAAGGGATAAATCCACTGCACGTGGTAATGAAAAAAAAAGTTGAAATACACCCTCTCTCAAATGATAATGATATTTAATGATACAACGTGGTTTCTGTTCCTGTATACGGCCGTTATTACGTCGATGAGAAAGAAATAATTATGAGAATGTGTTTTTTTTGTATAATTTTGTGAAACTGTATTATTTTATATGCGTTTAATTCTGTTTTTCTAAATATATTTTATTTCACGAATCTTGAATGTATATTTTCTCATTTTCTTTCCCTTATTTTCAATTTTTTTTCTCTTTCATGCGTGTTGATTTTCTGGGGGAGGTGACTTTGGGCATTCGTAAATTAGAGAATTGTTACAGAATTGAGGGTAGAGAGGAGACAAATCGATAAAATAAATTTGGTAAACATGGAGAATGTTTAGTGAGGTGGAATAAGGAGACGGGGGATTTTACGTATCTGAGGTTCCAATCATTTTTCAGAGGTTCTTGAGAATTTCAAGGGCTGGCGGATTGGAAATGGTCTTGGTGAATAGTCCGGGAAATTTCCGGTGGAAGAAACAACTTGATGATCCACTCATCTCTTCAAGGTTTCTAAATACAACGAGAACACATTTTTCTCTTTGAAAAAAAAATCCAAAAATTTGTCCGAAACACTGGGATAAAAGAGGTTCATTACCAGTGCTTTTTATCGGAAATTTATCAGGCTTTCCAACGCGACCACTTTCGATTCTCCAACTGTTCAAGTTACTGAGATATTTTTGACAACAGGGAGAGCGAGAGAATAAAAAAAAATGCATTTGTCTCCTTATGCACCTCAAATGTTTACATGTAAAAAAACTATTAAATAAAAAATGAAGTTTAGTATAAACGTGTCTCATCATTATTAGATTTAGGGAACATCTACCTGATGACGAAGCAATATTGTTTTATCTACAATTATTAATAAAAAACATAAAAAAGTAAGAAAAAAAATTAATAAATCACATGATGTTAGGTGTAGTCCCATATTGCTATGCGTCTCCTAGCTGAATTTCTATGTTTTCTAATTCGTTGTGAACGGAATAGTTCTTTTGGTATTTACGATAAATAAAAATATTAAAATTATAGAGTAATGAAAGTTAAGAGAAGGGATGATTATCATCAACGAGCTGCGTGGCGGCTCACGCGTTTTTATATTCTCAAATCATTAAAAACCAAAAACAACACTAATGAAACATTAAAACCGAGAAAAACTATCATCAACGCTGTAATGCGTCCTTTGTTCCAGCCATCTCTTATTAACGAAAAAATACAATTAATTAAAATTCGATTGAACATGCGAAGAGGGAGAAAGCTCACTGCCGCCACGATAAAAAATTTAACTAAAATAAATGAAGAAAATAAGAATAAACGATGTATGAAAAAACATTGTGAATTATGTATTTTGAAGATGCCATACACAAGTACCTCATGATGCAAAACACATGTACAAATGTTCATACGATTCTCAGAACGATAGCTAATTAATAAAAATAATGAATATCCAAAAATGAAAATAAGAGATTGAAGTTTAAACCAACAAACGTATCCGGAATAATTTAATTGCTATTATGTCGATTATTTAATTACTGATAGCAACTGACCCTTATCCTTACCCCTCGTCCTTTGCTCTTCCCCCCCCCTCTCTCTCTTTTCTCCGTCGATCGTTGTATTTTGTTTTGTTCTACATCAAAACTCGATGCCAGTATATTTTACATCGCAATTACGAGGAGGAGAGGAGACTCTAATTGCCCCTCGTGTGTGTACCGATGGTGAGGGGCCATAATTTTTGCTTAATTTTTTTTCCATTCTCTGGAAAAACTACTATGCCAAAGGATTAACCCCGGTACAAGTTTATTGCCGCTTGCAAGCATCCTGTGATAAATAGCGAGATTACGAGAGTCTTCCTCGAACGGACGCGACGCACAGTCGCTTCTCCATGGACCATATGTTCCTGCTTGCTTGTAATGATTCTCAAGGCTGTGGGATACTATCGGCCAGATTTGTTGCGGCCAAAAATGCCGAGGAATAATGGTACGAGTTGGGGATTTTGGAGGAGTGGGGAAGAAGAGGAGAGATTTCTCAGGATTGTTCTGTGGAACTGTTGGGAATGAGTGAGGTTGAAGGAAAATGCTTCAGGACACTTTTAGCAGGTTTGAGGATTTTTGCTTCCGGACAGAAGCTTTGTAATCGTTCAAATTTAAGTATTGGATTTTTTGTGTTATATTGACCCAGTATGATCCAATAAGTCAGAAAATGCAATTTTTAGATCTCGTCCGCACGCGCGTGTGTATGTGTGTATGTATGCAACAAAGTTTTTTTTCAATTATAGGTATTATTGAGCTCTATCAATCGCCATCAATTAAAATTTAATTCATCGATTAGTTTTTTTAACTTTGGAATTTTTTCGAAAAACAGTTGTCCTACGATATCTATAAAAAAACAGTTCTGAATTCATTGAATGATGCTTTCAAAAATTTGTTTGGATATCCTTTTGACCGAGTTTGAACACTGAGAGAAAAATATAATTCTTCTGAATATATTCTATCACCATCGAATTATAGTCAAAAAGTCCTCAACAATTTTTCATGGGTTACGGTAACTATGGCCGGAGAAGTAATTACTACAATGGAATGTAGTCATTGCAATTATTTTATAGTTCTACTCACGATAGGTTTGTCGTGGTTACTTTTGAATTTTGGTTAGTTTAACTGCATTTTGATTTGCAAAAATTACGCTTGTGAAGTTACTATAATGTTATGTGCCGCATCCAAAAAAAAATCGTATCGTTCACCAAAATGCCTCACCTATGTTCTTATTGTAAATCGAACTTCAGATGTTTCTCTCAGTGAAGATGAAGCCGATAGCAATAATCGTTATTTTTATTTATTTGAAAATTTGCAAAAATTTTGTATTTTTTGAAAATCAGAATTCCGGGGATATTTTGAATATCATGCTTCAAATGCATTCAATCATGGCTTAAAATGTTTGTTTTAATGTCATTAAGTCGAAGTTAAAAGATCATTACGATAGCTATATTGGTTGATTTTATATTCATGATTATTGTTGAAAAGTTCGAATTTTTCATAAATTTCCCTGAAAGTGAGTTTCCTGATAATTTCTTCAAATGTGGTTTTAAATTCATTGAAGTATGTATAAATAAAATTGTTCTATTAACACTTTATCGAAGGGCTGAGGGGAGAGATGGAACTGTAAAAAAGACAATCGGTTGTATAGAAAAAGGGGAGGGGGGGGAGGTAATAACAATAATGATGATGATGATAGTCAACTAGGTTAACATTAGTTAAAAAGAACACTTATTCAATTTAATAAAATGGAATAAACAATGAAGTTTACATGATAGAAGGGAATCCAAGTGCAAAATAACCATTCGGAAGCAGATTGCAAATTTATTAACAAAAATACCAATACTAGATGCAATACACGAGCAATTTCCCATTTGTTTCTCCGGTGAAATGTTTTTCTACTTTTGTAGTCGAACATCAGAGCTTTCATTTGCAGGTCTGAATTTGAATCTCGATATTGAAGTGTTAGAAAACATTTTATAAGTCTGAGAAAGGAAAAATTAGAAAGTTTACTTTTGGAAAAAGATTCATGAAATAACTTAAAAAGTGCTATTTTTGAAAATTAGGAGCATTTTCTATAATGTATCATTTATAAACAATCGATTTTCCACCATAAAAATCATTCGTTCGGAAACAGCAAATTTATTCATGTTCAGAATTTTATCAGATATTGATTTCATGCTTAAAATAAAAAAATAAGGTTTCCGAAACTTTAAACAAGTTCAATTATTTATTTATAAACAACGAATGTCGATAAAATAATAATTCTGTGCAAAATGTAATTTGTATGGCACTAAATATTCATGATTTTTTTCAAATTTTTCTCAGGCAATTTCATTAACAAATTTGATGATTGAAAATGGTTGAATTTATAGTGGAGCCTGTATCAAACTGTAAAAGATACTGTGGCATCCTTAAGGGAAGACCGCGCGCTGAGAGAAAAATCAGAAATTCGATTTACAATAAGAAAATAGTTGAGGCATTTTGGTGAACGATACGATTTTTTTTTGTATGCGGGACATAACATTATAGTAACTCCCCAAGCGTATTTTTTGCAAATCAAAATGCAGTTAAACTAACCAGAGTTCAAAAGTAACCACGACAAAGCTATCGTGAGGAGAACTATAAAATAGTTACAATGACTACATTCCATTGTAGTAATTACTTCTCCGGCCATAGTTCCCGTAACCCATGAAAAATTGTTGAGGACTTTTTGACTATAATTCGATGGTGACGGAATATAGTCACAAGAATTATATTTTTCTCTCAGTGCGGTGAAATGTGAAAGTTACAGGGGATTGTCCCTGCCATGCTGATGATTTTAGTACTCATTGTTTATACTCGTTCTGTGGAAACCAAAATTCAAGTCAATCCGTCGAAAATCCAGGTGAGGGGACTATTTCAAAGATTTTATGCCTGTACATATGTCGTCATTGAACACAATTAAAACTCGCTATAATGCCACAGCTGTTAACGAATAAACAAAAAAAACTTGAAAAATTTGAGCCGAAGAAATTCTATAGAAAATATCTCAATAGAATAGGAGAGGATAGGGCAAAATGGACCAGGAGGGCAAAACGGACCAGGAGGGCAAAACGGACCAGGAGGGCAAAACGGACCACTGACAGAAAATTGGTATTTTTTTTTCTTTCCTTCAAATCAGGAACACTGAATGTGTTAAATTAAAAGTGAGTTTCTTGGATTGGAACCGTCACAGGGGTTTTATAGACAAAAAGTGTCGTTGAACCACATTTTGATCAGATTTGCTAATTACCTCAAACCACAAATGACTTTGAATTTTTGTTTTTCCTTTTTACTGGCAGTGGTCCGTTTTGTCCTCCGGTCCGTTTTGCCCTACACTCCTCCAAATTATACAGAAAAATCGCGTTCTATTGACTTTTTCTATAGAATATTTTCTATTGAACATTTCAATAGAATCGGCCAAAAGCTAATAGATAGTTTAAAAGAAATGTCTAGCGAATTTGCTAGACTTTTTGTATTAAATTTTTCCAACCGTGCTGAATAATCATCAGTGAATGATCAGTAAAATCAAGAAGTTAATTCGAAAAATCAATTCTGTTTACGTTAAAAACATCTCGAAAACCTTTTGATTTAGACGAAAATACAGGAAAAGACA